CATACATCTCGGAATCATTTAATTTTTTTTTTTGTTTCCTATGTAAAACCAATCAAGGAATCCAAATCCGAAGTTATTTTGGCCTAAATCGGCTTAAATCACCCTAGATCTACGTTTTTCTCCGACGGTTCTCGGTGATTTTCCGGCGATGTTTCACCGTTTCCGGCGACGACACTACCCAGAAAAGATTCAACTCGTCAAGTGCTTTCAAACCCTTCAAGTCTCAACCCAAACCGAGCTTCCGTTCGCCGGAAATCGGAAAAACTCCATGGCGGTAAAGGAGAAGGAAAACGATGAAGAAAAACTAAGAAAAGATGGAGAAACGGACCGACGGTGATGAAGCGGTGGCCACGGGGCGGTGGTCGATGGTCGACGGCGAGCAAGGAGGCAAATCGGAGTGGAAGATAGGCAACAATGGTGTTAGGGTCGGCCATGGGAGGAGGAAAAAGAAGAAGAAGAAGAAACCCTAGCAAAAATTGCAGTCCAATCCCATAGTTTCTGAAATTTTCGAAATCTGCCCAAACTTTTATTTCGTTCTAAAAGACCCTAACTGAAATAACAGATTTTTCCAGAACTTTTAATTTTATCACCTTACCCCAATTCATTCATTTTTTTTTTAAAATTTTCGTTCGTTATAATTCCACCACCCTTAAAAGAAGAATTCGTCCCGAATTCTAGAACGACTTAATATAGTATGTACTGTTTATCTATCAAAATATATATAATTACAAAAATTAGCATAATGAGATTTATATAACAAAGTGATGTTTTTTTAAAAAAATCTACAGTGTTTCAAATTTTGTTTTATTTTCTATTATAATTGAACCAATTTTTATTTGATAATTATTTTATTAGATATATTCGAATCAAATCAAATCGATTAAAATTAAATAATCATTTATTTAATTCATTAATTTTTAAAATCTAAAATAAACGAATATGAATTACCGTAATTAAATAAAAAAAATCAAATAATCATTTTTGTCACGAAGTTTTAAAAGTTTCTTATAGAAACTCACTAGGTAATAACCCGCGCGCATCGCGCGGACTATAAATATATATAAATTTTAAATTTTTTTATTAATAGTTTTAAAATTAAATATAATATATTTTTTTATTTTATAATTCATATATAAAAAATGAGAAATTTTTTAAAGTGTTTATATAACATGATATTTTATTTTCTGAAGAAGAATTATGTTTTTAGAAATTTTACAACCCAATAAAAGAGCTATACTTTTGGTAAAATAAGAGCTGACTCCACTAAAAAAATATTTTCGTGTGCATCGCGCGAATTAAAAATACGAATAGATTTTAAAAAAATATTATCAATTATAAAATTAAATATATTATATATTTTGTTTTTGATTTTATAACTTTATATTGTTTAACTCATATTTTTTTTAAAAATTATGAGATAGCATGATGTGAAAAATCGTAGTTATTAACCCGCACACATTAATCGAACTAAAAATATATATGAATTATAAAAAAAATTGTTATTAGTTTCAGAATTAAATATATTAGATTTTTTTATTTTATAATTTATATTTTTAAATTAAAATGATAATGTTTTAAAATATAAGATAATGGAAATGCTTCATTTTTTCGGAGAAAGATTTGGAATAGTTTCTATATTTTATAATTTTGTGGATTATAATATAGAATCATGTATTATGTGTATAACATTGAAACCATATCAGATTACGTGGCATTTTAACGTTGCCACCTCATACTTTCATCTGAATTTTAACGATATTCGGGGGTGAAGTTGAATTTATTAATATTTACAAAGTATATATATTTTTCTGCTAAAACGTAAATGTACAGGATTTTTTTATAATAAAAAAATAGAGTTTTTTTATCGATATTTGAAGAGTAAAGAGTTTTTAAAAAACTCTATTTTTTTATTATAAAAAAATCCTGTACATTTACGTTTTAGCAGAAAAATATATATACTTTGTAAATATTAATAAATTCAACTTCACCCCCGAATATCGTTAAAATTCAGATGAAAGTATGAGGTGGCAACGTTAAAATGCCACGTAATCTGATATGTGGCTGCCATGTAGACGATTTTCCCTCATTTATCTTTCAGAGTTCATCGTTTAGACCAAGGTGAGGAGTAAAGAGTTTTTTTTTTGATTAATCTAATTTTCTTTATATTAAATGATAAATGTTAGGACTGATGTCAATTAAATTGAACAATTTAGCATTGGATTGGATTTTTTTATACATTTCAAATTTCTTTTATTTATATATAAAGTTCCATGTGTAAATTTTATTATTTTTGAAATAAATGCTAACTATAATATTTAATGATATTATTAAATATTATCTTATAACTAGACTAAATTTTTATAGAGACAGAAGAAAACAAATCAAGAATGAGTATACTAAGAATATATAATTGATATCCACAAATCAACAAATTTTTACTAATTTCATATCAATAAATTTTAAAGTATTATAGGAAACTACCTCATCCTCCACCTCATTATCATCCACATTAACTGGGTGAAAAATTTTTAAATCCTCATTCATATATTATTATCTTATATAGTTTGATCAGATTACCACTAATTATTAACATGTAAAATAGATTTCTTTTTAAAAACTAGATGACCATATAGAATAAAAAGAATGTGAATAGATTATAGTAGCTTTGAAATTTTCAATTTCATTGTATAAAAATTTATTTGGGTATTAGTTGTATATATATTGAAATAATATTAAAAACAACATAATTTTTAAATTTAAATTGAATATAAAAATTATAAAGTCACCTCATCCTATTGAAAATTTCAAAACCATGGTGATGTGATTTAATAGCAATAGTACTGTTACGTGGTTCTTGATACCAATATGATTTAACACGAATATAATTATTTATACACTACTTCATATGTACTTAATGAGTTTTTATTGTCTTCAACACAATTATTATAATTTTCGGTTACTTTTACTTCCACCAATCCATGTAGTTAATATTTAGTGGATAAATAATTACAACAAAAAACGTGGCCAATAAGGTCAATTATATTTATTGTCTCTTATTTTAAATTTTTATTATTAATATTTACGAAGAGTCACAGTCTTCTACAATTTGTTTCGATTTTTTCCATCCAAACCGAAATACTCATCATCATCATCATTATTCATTGAATTAAAATGGTTCATTTTAAAATGGCGTAATTATATATATATATATATATATATATATATATATATATATATATAAATAATTATGTTTAAAGAGATTTGGAGAAGATACCTCACATGGATGTTTTTAAGATTTTGATTTGTTGATAAAAATCTTCATTAGTTACATCAATTTTTTCAATTAGATTACTATTATTTTTTTTTTCATAAATTTTTATTCCAACATAATATATAGTTTAAAATAGAATATATATATATATATATATGTATGTGTGTATGATTATATACATAACAGATACACATGTGTATAATATTATATATATTGTGTATAAATGTATATGTGTGTCTGATTGTGTATACATGTATATAATTTTATATATATTATATATATATATATATGTTTTTTATTTAATTTAAATAATAAGAGAATTTGAAAAAGGGACAAACTTACTCAAAGTAAATGGTAAAATTTATAACTTTGTCGTTGTGTACCTAACAGATATATATACATGTATATAATTTTATATATATTATGCCTATATGTTTTGTTTTTACCTTAAAATAACAAGAAAATTTGAAAACGAACAAAAGTAACTATTAGTAATAGGTAAAATTTGTAACTTTATCAAAAAAATTAGTTTCAACATAATATATAGTTTAAAAAAGAAACGATTGACGAAAAGAAGTGGAGGATACCATAAAATTAAAGAAAATAAGAAAATAAATTATCAAAAAATTAAAAAAATAACACTCTTAGAAATAATTAATAATTATTTTTAAAAAAAGTGGCGAAGACTTTAACACCAATTTGTAGCCTGTGATATAAAAGCCCCGACGGTAGGATCCACCTCATCATCCATGTGGCAAATTTTTAATTTTCATTGATAAATAATTATTTCTATATTAAAATAACCAAATAAAATATAATAATATCAGGTTTTGATGCGGAACGTTTTTTCATATCCTCCGACTAATATCAGTTTTAATTGCTGAACATTTTTTCATATCCTCCCACTCTTGTCATATTAAAATTAAAAAATAGTTGATGGATATAAAATAAAAAATGTCAATAAATTATTACAATTAAAAATAACAATATATATCATCTTTATTATATAAATAATTATATTGAAAAATGTTAATATTAATATAATTTTTACATCATCTTTATATTTTAAAATTATAAGTTATCTTAATAACTATTACAAAATAAAACATTACACACAAATCTTAGGGTGATTATTATAATTAAAAAAAAAAACAAGCTATCTTCGTTATATATAAAAAGGATCATTGTAACGTTTAAATTGAGAAATTTATTCCGGATCGTTGTGATTTTGGATTATATTTAATAACTATTCATTATATGTAACTGATATTTAGTTGCGTAAAATTTTAAAAAACAAATCAAAGCAGAAAACGTAGTGGTCTACCGCTCGAACGTTGTATTCATTACCCACTAAGAACTATATTTATTATTTGCTCTTTTCTCATTAATTCTAATTTATTGTATTAATGCTTATGAATACGACGCTTCTCATGGAATGAAGATTACACTTCCTATCAACAAATCACTAATGTTGTCCTCATGGAACGAAGATCATCGTTCATGTCCGCAAAGGTATCTGTAGGTCACCCTTCCACCTCTTTCGTTTAGTTTACAGTGTTTATATTATGTTTGGACTTGCCAAGAGCTATTGGTAATGTTTTCTACTCTAATTCCTTTGAACTTAATGTCATCTTATTTTCTAAATAGTGAGTAATCAACACTGACCATAAATTGTTTGCATGTAGTCTTGATTGAGACGTCGTCCTTTTTTGCTTCAGATGACATAAAATTCAAGAAGAACAAGGTATTGTCATCCGAAGACCAAATCTCTACTACCAATCCACTTATTAACACTGTTAGAGATTATGAGTGTGTGTTTATATATCGATTCAGATCCCAATTTATATAAATATTTGGACGACATTTCTCTCTTCCATTGATTTTCTCCTTTGAAAAATCAAAATTAAAATTCTTATTTCGTTATAAGGAATAATTAGTAGTTTTCGGTTTCCATTTAAAAAAAAAAAATATTCTGACATAACAGAAATTATAATTATTTAAATTTTTTTATTTGATTTTAATTCAAATTCAATTTGATCTTGACCGAATAAGATGTTTGTATATATATATATATATATGTATGTATGTAAATATATATGTGCATATACACATATGTATATACATGGATATCTATATATGCATATTAATTTATGTGAATAAATTAATCCAGCCCGCTTATTTATACGTGGATCTCTATATATATCAACTTTAGTCATTCTCACAACGGTTGTAT